GCCACGGGTTGATTTAAAGGCCCTGGGGCTCCCAGCCACAGCCGGTGCCTCAGGGCCTTTAAATCTTGAGAGGCCCCGCCTCTTCCAGTTGAGGCCACACCTATGCCGGATGAGGCCACGCCCCTTCAGGACTCCGGCAGTACCGGTAAGTCCTGTAAGTTACTTTCACCCCTGGGAGAGGGAATCCTATAATTTTTTTAAGCAAAACTATCCTTTTTATCACACTGCTCCTCTGAAAAGCTCTTTGAGTCCACTTTGTGTTTCAGTGGAGATAGGGACATAGTTTCTATCTCCCCAAATGTCCCTCTTTATAGCTTTCATAGATGTACATAAAACAGTCCAAGAGTGTATTTTCCACTTGTATTTTCCACATATAGGGTAGCTCTCATTTTATTCTGATGTCTGCTGTTTAGATATCGTGTTGATAAAATAAGTGCCTTGGAAATATCTAAAATGGACAGATACAGGTATACAACAAAACGACCAAGCTAGTCACATAACATAGACTGTTGCATGTAAAGAGTGAAGATGCAGGTCCTTCCTTCTTGAATGCTTCAAGTTAGCCTTGTTTGTAAGGAAGTATTATTTAGTACAACTGGAAGAGGAGCTAGAAATGTGGTGTAGGAACTGCACTGGCAAATTAAGTACAGATTTGTATTGTTCATACTATTACACGGTCATGTTCATGACACTCTAATTAGACTGTCAGGATGTGACAAGTTACCTCTCAGCCAGAGCCGTGGTCTACACTACAAACTTTGTTGGTATTACTTTGTTGCTCAGAGGTGTGGAAAATTAACACCCCTGAGTGACACAGTTACACTAACTCCCAGTGTAAACAGTGTTATGTCGATGGGAGGTCTTCTCCCGTCAACATATCTACTGCCTCTCAGGGAGGTGGAGACTACCTACGTTCATGGGAGAAGCTGTCCTGTCGGCATAGGTAGAGTATTTACTAAGCGTTGCAGCTATGCCGCTGCAGCCCTGTAAGTGTAGACAAGCCGTGAGATTCTTAAACCTGAGTTATCTGTGAGCCTGAGCCTTCTTAAACCTTATGAATCATCCCTCAGTTACCTCTCAGCCTAAACCTGCTTATGCCTCAGAGTTATCCTAGAGCCAGAGAGTGTGATGAGTAATTAGAGGCAATTACCTGCAGCTCTTGAGATAGACCCTTCCCCATTCAGCCAGGGTTCACCCAGTCCCCCGTCAAGGCTGGTGATCCCAAGGGAAACAGTCTCTTTAGGCTACTCAAATGTGACTACTTGGCAGAGTGGATAAAAATCTATGATTTTTTTTTTAAATCAAAAACATTGGATTTTTTTTATTTAAATCCGATTCTTTTGATAAAATGCTTTTTAAGGAAAAAACCTATCTAAAGATAATTTTTATTAAGATACATTATAGCTCAAAGATATCTCATCATGGAATAGGGATTATAAATTCTAATTCTATAGTATGAGACAATATATTCATTTAATGTTTAAGAAAAGTTTTGTAAATGAGTTCCAATAATTCATGGATTAGGGACCTAATTTTATGGGGTTCCAGGGGCTTCTGTATAGATTATTTAGGTTAATCTTTCTGTCTACCCAATAGGACTCAGTGCTCATCTAGAAGCTACCATCAGAGATACTTAGTTTTGCAGGTCTCAAACTGTGGATTTGTGTCTCCAGAGATAACATGCTTGTTAACAGCAAAAATGTTTTAAAATACATAAATAAAATATAGAGGTGAGAAATAACAGACCTCAACTCTGTTGTCCCTCTGCAAATTTGTGAACCTCTCTCTAACAGTGCAAAGTCTCTAAAAGTTCAATGACTAGAAGATTGTTGGGGACGGAATAGATCTGGACAAGGAGAAGAAGTCTTGAGATAAATGTGAGAAGGGAGGGACAGGCAGTAGAAACAAAAGTGAAACTGTTTGAGCAGCATATTCCAGAAATCTTGAGGTCTTTCGGAGTGTAGCCTTCATTGATTTGAGATCTACCATACTAGGGTTACCATTCGTCCGGATTTACCCGGACATGTCCTCCTTTTTGTGCTAAAAATAGCGTCCGGGGGGA